CGGGGACCTGATACGAGCGGGTTCCCATGAGCTGTGCAGTGGCCTGAAGCCCCTTCCCTTGCTCTGTTCCCTCCAGCCCATACCCGCCCATCCTGACGCCTTTGGACTCACGGGTCACAGAGGCTGTACTGAGTGCCAGGACAGGAAAGCAGTCAGAGGGAGGGATGTTACAGACACAGGCCTTCAGCAGTCCCCATGCCAGAGCAGAGAGGCTGTGAGCGTAAAGCGGGGATCAGGGCCGCTGAGAGAGCAGGTAACTTATGGGGGGGCCTGCGAACAGTCTGCAGAGGCCCAGCGAGCTGGAGAGAGCCTGTGCACCACCCACACACAGAGCTGCCCAACTGCCTGTAGCAGGCGATGTGGTGCCCTGGCTGCTCGGCACGCAGCACTCGGGGCGGGTGGCCGGTGGCCAAGAAGCCTGCTGGCCCTCACCCCGCATCCCTGGCAGCTGGGCTGCCCCAAAGGCAGCCGACTCTCTTGGGCACAGCCGCCGGGACCAAGGGGAGGGGGTGTAGGAAGCTTTCATTTCCGGAGGGCGACAGCTTGCACGCGGAGGGGGAAACGCTCAGTCTGTCCATCTGACCAGCGAGGGCATTGGGGAGGGGGCTCAGGAGGTGGGAGGCAGGGCTGGCGAGGCGGCACTGCTCCCTTCAGCCACTAGGCGGCAGCAGAGAGCACCATGCCTGCCCCACTCAGGTCCCCAGTTCGGTAAATGAGGGTGATCTGGCTGGCGCAGACTTCCTCCTCATCCCCTTCTCCTGGACCTCCTTCTTTACCCACTGACTCGCCAATGAAAGTGAGTACCAGGGACTTCCCTGGTGGCGTGGTGGTTAAGAATCCGCCTGCCAATGCAGGGGACACGGGTTCGAGCCCTGGTCTGGGAAGATCCCACATGCTGCGGAGCAACTAAGCCCGTGTGCCACAACTACTGAGCCTGCAAGCCACAAGAGCTGAGCCCGCGCGCCACAACTACTGAAGCCCGCACGCCTAGAGCCTGTGCTCCGCAACAAGAGAAGCCACCGCAGTGAGAAGCCCGCGAATTTGCCCTGGTCAGGTGCCCTTCTGGCCTCACACACATAGACCACAGCCTTGCAAATGCAGAGTGTACTTATGAAGGGTTAGGGGCCCCAGTCTCAGCAGAGCTCAAGGCCCTCCTCAGCTCCCAGAGCTCTCCCAGCCCGGGGGCAGGGGGTGCAGGGGCCGAACACACCTGAGCTCACTCCTGCACAACGCAACCCGCACCCGGACAGAGGGAGGGGCTCTCAGCTGAGACAGGAGGGGAGAGTCCAAGCCCAGCCAGCACCAAGGCTCAGCCTCGGCAAGGCGGACATACGGGAGGACCAAGGTGAGCGCAGGGGACACCAACGGTGGCTCTGGAGAGCCAGCTCGGCAGGAAGCCCAGCCTGGGGAGGATGTGGGTGGCGGCGGATTCCCAGGAGGAGCTCCAGGCGCCAGGAAAGCGGGGACACAGAGAGCAGGAGCGCCTGTCAGGTAAAAATGCGCCTGCCTAAAATAAGGGAGAAGGGGGATGATTACTGAGCACATCTGGATGGACTGATGGGGTTGGAGACAGAGGTGACCCCGATCTGCAGAAAGCCCAGCCGAGTTCTTCTGGGCTTTGGCGTCCACTCTGCCATGGTGCGGGGTGGGGGGTGGGGCTCTGTGGCCTGACACTTTAGACCTAGTTTGTAAACCAACTTAGCCAGCACACTTCTTTGGGAAAGGGAAGGGCCTGGTGGGAGAGGGATTGACCCGGGATTAATAGACAGCATGAAAGGGTCTACTGAATGGGAGTCCACACGTGAACAAGCTGGAGTTGGTGGCTGTCTGACGACTACCCCCTTCCGAGGCACCAGGGCTCCGGAGACCACTGGCCTGTGCTTCCCGCTTCTGCTCAAGCAAGATTTCTGGGTTGTTCCACCAGGTCACAGGTTATGAATGTGTGAGAAGGTCGGATAAGGGTAATAGGGAGTGGTGGAGTCTGTGGCTAAATGGAGAGGGCCTAAGGCATTTACTTTAGATTTTTTTTTAAATGCCATACTGGCCAAACAAATCATAGCTGCCCGCTCAGGCCATCAGTTTAAAACTCAGCACCAGAGATGAAATGAAAACACCCAAAGTTATAACCAGCACTTGCTCCGTATGCACACGAGCGTGTACACGTGCACACACACACACACACACACACAGACACACACATACACACACCCCTGAATCAGTGCTCTCGGCACTTTAAAGAGTTGAAACAGTTGCTCCCTGCCCATGCCGGGGACCTGATACGAGCGGGTTCCCATGAGCTGTGCAGTGGCCTGAAGCCCCTTCCCTTGCTCTGTTCCCTCCAGCCCATACCCGCCCATCCTGACGCCTTTGGACTCACGGGTCACAGAGGCTGTACTGAGTGCCAGGACAGGAAAGCAGTCAGAGGGAGGGATGTTACAGACACAGGCCTTCAGCAGTCCCCATGCCAGAGCAGAGAGGCTGTGAGCGTAAAGCGGGGATCAGGGCCGCTGAGAGAGCAGGTAACTTATGGGGGGGCCTGCGAACAGTCTGCAGAGGCCCAGCGAGCTGGAGAGAGCCTGTGCACCACCCACACACAGAGCTGCCCAACTGCCTGTAGCAGGCGATGTGGTGCCCTGGCTGCTCGGCACGCAGCACTCGGGGCGGGTGGCCGGTGGCCAAGAAGCCTGCTGGCCCTCACCCCGCATCCCTGGCAGCTGGGCTGCCCCAAAGGCAGCCGACTCTCTTGGGCACAGCCGCCGGGACCAAGGGGAGGGGGTGTAGGAAGCTTTCATTTCCGGAGGGCGACAGCTTGCACGCGGAGGGGGAAACGCTCAGTCTGTCCATCTGACCAGCGAGGGCATTGGGGAGGGGGCTCAGGAGGTGGGAGGCAGGGCTGGCGAGGCGGCACTGCTCCCTTCAGCCACTAGGCGGCAGCAGAGAGCACCATGCCTGCCCCACTCAGGTCCCCAGTTCGGTAAATGAGGGTGATCTGGCTGGCGCAGACTTCCTCCTCATCCCCTTCTCCTGGACCTCCTTCTTTACCCACTGACTCGCCAATGAAAGTGAGTACCAGGGACTTCCCTGGTGGCGTGGTGGTTAAGAATCCGCCTGCCAATGCAGGGGACACGGGTTCGAGCCCTGGTCTGGGAAGATCCCACATGCTGCGGAGCAACTAAGCCCGTGTGCCACAACTACTGAGCCTGCAAGCCACAAGAGCTGAGCCCGCGCGCCACAACTACTGAAGCCCGCACGCCTAGAGCCTGTGCTCCGCAACAAGAGAAGCCACCGCAGTGAGAAGCCCGCGCACCGCAAACGAAGAGTAGCCCCCACTCGCCACAACTGGAGAAAGCCCACACGCAGCAACGAAGTCCCAACGCAGCCAAAAATGAACAACAACAACAACAAAAAAGTGAGTACCAGTGTGCGAGCAGTCCAGAAAGAGGCAGAAGGGAACGTCCAGAACCCAGGGGTCTGGACATCTGCTTGTGTCCAGGGTGCCAGCGTCCCTATTCTCACAAGCTGAGAAGCCCTCGCAGATCTGGGCGAAGGATGGCGGATGATCTGAGGATGCCTGGGGCTGTCAGGCTGGAGCTCACCCCAGCTGGACCACAGACTTTTCCTCCAGTCACCAGGCAGTGACTTTTCCTACCTTCGCATCACTGCAGGCGGTGGCCCTTCTTCCAGACCCCAGGTTGTCCCCAGGACACTGTCCAGAAGTGGCCTACCCCCCGCAGACACACCCCCCCCCCTTGCCGTTGGAACACAAGACTACAGAGCCTCCTCCAGGAAGCCTTCCCCAGCCAGGGAAGGGTCTGGCGTGGTTTGGCAGGGGCCTGGGGAGAGAAGCACCCCACACCTCTCTCCGTGGGAGTCAGGAGGTGGCTCTCCCAGATGCCCAGGCAAACCCTGGGGGAGGGCAAGTGGAAAGTGGGAAGAAGACCAAAGCCCAGGGAGGAAATCCGGTCGGAGGGGTATGGACTAGTGGAGGAGCTGCCAGGATAGGGCTGCCAATCTGGGCTGCTCACATCCCCCCGCCCCGGGGGGGAACTCGCTCCCTCCCACCCCAAGAACCACAACGAACAGAAAGAAGGCTGGCACACACGGCAGGCGATCCATGGGTGCTTGTTAACAAGGCAGGAGGGGGCAGTGGGAGGGACACCGGCCTGAAAGCAGGACACCCGGCTTTAGTCGTGTCTCTGGCCCCGAGGAGCGTCACGAACTCGAAAAATCATTTTGTCCCTTGGGTTCCTCAGTTTCCTCATCCATGAAGTCGGGGTCGGGACCCAGGCAGGATGGCAAACGGAGCTGCCGGGGGCACTGTCTCTGGAAGGAGTCAGCTGGGGAAGAACCTGCCACCGACTAGCCATGTCTGTCCTGGGTGCAGGCCCGTGGCTGTGCCTATTTGCCAAGTGTGGGGGCCATCCTGAGCCCCTGCCACCCCAGTGCACTGTGCGTTAAGGACACCACTGCAAGGCGGGCGTGGAACTAGGGCTGGAGCTGGGGACACCTTGCGACACCGCCTCCGGGAAAATGCAAGACAAGCGTGGCCGTTTCTCTGGTTCCTTCCCGCGGCTCCAGGACACTAGGCCAGGTGAGGGAGCCCTCCAGTGAAGCGTCAGGACCCAGCGTGGGGTGTTCAGGTGTCACATGCAATATGGCGTGTATCTCTGTGGGCGCTACCCTCCCCAAGCACAGAGATCCTAAGTGCTAAGAGGAAGCCTCCCTACAGTGGGTGATCCGCGGTTGCACACTGCAGCTGTTCTAACCAGACGGTGGGCTCCGGAAAGACCACCTCCTTCACAGATAAGACGGGGTGTTCCAACAGGCACAGCAGGCTCCGGCGGCGCCGTCTCTAGCCCACCGGGAGGGGCTGCCCACGGACATTACAGAGCTTCTCGGCAGGGCTGCGGGAGGGGGCAGAGGTGAAGGCTGTCCGCCGGGGGCACGGGGGCCCTGGCCCAGCTTCCTGGCTCAGTAGCCACCTGGTTTCCAGCCACATCCTACAAGTGCGTCTCCTCCCCGGCCATGAGACCCGCCCTCGCTGGGGAGGGCCCGCAGTCCCGGCCGCTGCCTCCATCCAGACACAGGTGTCGCTCGGGCTGTGGCAGGCTGGGGTCAGGGGTGACGAGCTGCCGCAGGCGCTGCGGAGAGAAGAGGAGTCAGTGGTGCTGGTGGCAAGAGAGGCAAAGACGTGTCCTCGTGTCTGTGTCCCCAGGGCCCAGCGCACAGCTCAGCGTGAGGGAGTGAAAGGGCTCAGAGCTCGAGAAGCGAGAAGAGGCAGTAACGTGTGATTGAGCGTGTGAACCGCCTGGCTCCCGTCCTGGCTCTGTTCCTGACGCCTGTGCGGTCGTAGGCAACCCACTGAACCACACTGTGACTTGTCTGTAAGGTGACAGCACACAACTCAGAGAACAGTGCCTGGCACAGGGTTAAGTGATCAGTGAGTGTCTATTTTGTTCTTGTTGTTACTATTCTTGTTGCTACTATTATCATATGCTCAGCAAGTGTCTATTGTTGTTCTTCCTAGTAGTAGTCCTACGATGACTACTGTTTTGGGTGCCATCTCCTTCTTGCTTTGAATGCAGACGTGATGACTGGAATCATGACAACCTTCTTGTGACCATGCGGTGATAAGCATGATGATGGAAAGACAACATGACCAGGATGGAAGTCCAGGAATAGAGGAAGCGTCTGGTCCCTGACGGCCTCTTTAAGCAGCTGAACCAAACGCCAGGAGCCCCCATCTCTGGTCTTCTTCACATGTAAGAAGAAACTAAGCCCATTTGCTTATTGCACGTTGGGTTTTCTGTGACTTGTGGGCGAGACAGATTTCCACAAATATAATGCCTTCGTGGGACACTGGCTCTATCCCTTCCAGGAAGACATGTCCCGAACCCTAAACAGGGAGCCTTTTGCATATGGTTCGCAGGCAGGGTTGAGAGGAGGAGAGAAGCCGGGAGCCTGTGTGGATGAACCATGGCTGCTGGTCACCAGCTTCCAAGAGCAGGAATCTGTGCTCTATGACGCCCTGCGTCTGGCACCTTGTGTTCTTATTTGTGACTTACTTTCCCCCTTAACCCTTTGACAGCTGCCCTTGGTCAACCTGCCCAGATGATCTGCTGAAGGTCAGATTATGAAGGTCTAGGACTCTAGGGATCTTGAACATTTCTGAAAATGAAGCCCTTCTTCAAAGATCCTTTCCTTAAGATTCCCTTAGACCGAAGGGCAGCCTGGCACTCAGAGCTGGCCCGGCCGTGGTGTCCTGCCCAGAGTCCAGCCCCTTTGGCGCCCTCCTTTGATGCACGACTTCCCCAGCCCCTACCTTCCTGAAGGAACCCTGGGTCTTCAGGAGGGCGACGACAATGAAGAGCGGGACGCAGCTCATGGAGGAGCCAGCCAGGAGCCAGCCAATGATGTAACCCCAGGCCGGGTACACGTAGACGTTGTTGTATCTGAGAGGTGTGTACTTCCTCAAGGAGAAGAGGAAAGTGGCCTAGAAAGACAGCAGGAGGGGACGGAGCAGTTCAATACCAACACGCTGGCGCCTCTAGAGACGGAGAGCAGAGGCTCCCTCTACAAGCGCGTCACAGCCCGCGGCTCAGGAGGCAGGGAGGGGAGACCAACAGCTGGGAAATCACGCAGACAGACAGACAGATGGAGGTGCCAGGGAGGGAGGGCTGGAGCAGGAACTAGACCAGATGGTGGTGCTGGTAAAGCAAAGAGATGGGCGAGAAAAGGGGGGAGGGAAACCAGCACATAAGAGGGCACGGAGCAGCCCCTGCAGGTAACTGCGCAGGCGCAGGCGGGAAGGAGCCCCAGAACTCTGCCCGTGCCCCGAGATGGCTAGAGGCAGGAGGAGATGGGGGTGGTGGTGCTGGAGGGCACATACCAGGCAAAGGCCCGGGGTCAGGAAGAGCCAGGAGATCTTCACTAGGGGCCACGGCCGGTAGCCAATCATGTCCTCCACGTTGTCATAGAAACGGTCGGCCCCTGACCAGGTGGGTGGGGGGAGAGTGTGAGGACAGGAAGGGGACGGCGGGTGGGCTCGGGGAAGGACTCACCTGCTTCGTCCGCCTCCCCGCACCGTGGTGGGGAACCTGGATCTGGACACGTGAGTGACACTGGAGGGGGGGAGGCCGCCACCAACAGACAGCCCCTAACCTCCCAGTGTCTCTCTGCTCTCACAGAGGAGGCTGTGAACCAAAACGGGGCTCAGCGGCCATACACATGCTTATTGCGTCGCAGAGGTGAACTCGGCTTCAAGTAAAAATAGCAAAACACCAAGGGAGCCGATGCTGGAGCCCAGCGCTGAGCCCTGCGGGGCGGGGGCGGCACCTGCACTCCAGAATCCAGGGGGCCCCTCTGTGCTCCCAGTGAAGCACAGAAGGGGGCTGGGCTGTGGCCATGGAAACACTGCCTCTTGCACTTGGTTTAATGTCCTTAGGTTTCCATGTTTGCTCCACCTTCTAAGAAGTAAAGAGCCACTGACTGGGAAAGGCCTGGGGGCCCTCTAGCCACCCCCTCACCACCACAAAAGGAACACTGCGAAATGCCACCGCTAGACAGTCGTCCCTTTGGCTTCTGAACTTCCCCCCAGGTGAAAAGCAGATACCGCTGCTGTAGGTGTAACTAACATATTATCAGCCGTTTACACCTCGCTGTGATCGAGTTTGTCAGATCCTCTCTGAGAACAAGTGTCGAAAAGCAGTGGGGAAATCAGAGCGAAAAGGTAGGAGACGCGTGGGAGGGGAAGGACACCAATGAGGAAGGCCTAGGGTAGCGAGATAAAACCCTTCCTATTCGCGGCTCGTCCTGAGGCCCTGCTGCGTAGTACCCACAAACCCTCTCTGCCCAGAGCTTTGGCACACTGACAATCCGTTCCCCCAACTGGTGCAGTGGAGCCAGAGGGACCTGCGGCATGATGACGGCTCCTCCACTTGCCTGCTGTGTGAGCTTAGGCAAAGGACCCAACCTCTCTGAGCCTCGGTTTCCCCTGTAAAGGGCTGTGGTGCAGATTACGAGACAGCACTCGGCACTCAGCAGTGCAGTGCTCGGAACATAAAGGCTTCTCCTCTAACCTCACCCCAGGCCGCCGCCATCATCAGGAACGATACCACGTGGTCAGCACCGCTGGCTGACTTCCTCAGTGCCGAGGGGGCGGGGCTGTTGGTGGGAGTCAGTGGAAGCCAGAATTCACCAAAGTATCAGAAAGAAACGCATAACCACCACAACAGAAAAGGCTACGTCAAAAACACAGGGATGAGCTTCCTGTCCGTGGAAGTGTTCAGGCAAAGCCTGGGTGATGACTTTGAAAGCACATGTGGGAATCTCTGAAGGATCAGACTAAGTGGGCCTGGAGGTCCCTTTTGACTAGGATTCCCATGGGAGAAGGCCTCCAACAGCCTCTGCATCCAAAAGCTGTGCACAGTTATTTATAATTATTCTCACTATTCAAAGAACTCTGTTGCCATTAGCCCAGCTCCACTGCCGTAATGAGAAACACCTGGGTTCCCAGCAACAGCTAAACTTCTCAAGTAAAAAGGACCAGGACAGCCGCACAAAGACCCGCAGAGACCGGTGGGCCCGTCCTCACCCTGGGCACATCCTGCCCTTCGCGTGGCCCCAAGCCTCCCCCACCCACCCACTTACCATACACCCAGCCGATGCAGATCACTTCAAACACGGAAAGGAACAGCAGGCACGTGCCACTGCAGGCGTAATAATCAAACAGCTGGAAGATGTACATCCCGCCCTGTGGGGCAAGGGGCAGAGTGAGACCTCAGCCGGGGGGCAGGGGACATGCCCCAGCCCACACGAGGTGACAGAAGCCCATCTGGGACGCCACCCTGCCCGGTCCAGGGAATTCATCCCTTGCAGCCCAAAAGAGTTTGCCCCACCTGTCCCTGACTCCCAGCCTCCCGGCCCTCATCTGACAACATCTCTGACATCTGCAAGGACCCCGGGGACTGTGGTGCACGTACACTGTGCTGTCTGTCCAGCATCCCACCTTCCGGAAGTTGCCGAGTTGCGGCCACCTCCCTCTGAATGTGCACCCCTCCCTGCTCCAGGCCTAAAGATGAGCAATGGCCAATTCTCAGGGAAAGGGCCCTATCCCCCCGGGGTGGGTTGGTGGCAGAAGGGAACCCTGAAGCTGCCCAGAGCTGTCTGTAACATCCCAGGAGGGAAATCTGCCCAAGAATGACATCACCAGAGGAAAGGGAAGCCAGGAGATAGAGGGGAGCATCCCTGATGATGTCATTGGAGCTGCTGGATCCAGCCGTGCCTGAAACTGAAAGATCTCTAGACTTTTCTGTTTCCTAACCAAAAAAATTCACCTTCCTGCTTAAGCCAGCTTGTTTGGTTTCTGTCACCTGAAACCAAAGGAGAGGGAACCAACACAGGAAGGTTCCACCATGTGGTCCCTCCAACCTCGCAGTGAAGGGCCGGGCGGGCAAGGGGAATGTGGCTCTGAGAGTGTCAGTGGGTCGCCAGCCTGCAGGCCGCCCC